AAGGCGAAGGCGCACGGGACGCTGTTACCTTCCCACCAAAGGTGGTTCTTATTTTTTTCTACTTGTATTTTTACATGCTTTCGAACTGTGAGGTTGGCAGAAGCTGGGACAAGTAACTGGACCTCACTCCATTAGGCGGCACTAGGGATTCGAACCGCCGACCTTTTTGATCAACAAGCTCAACATCTTAGCCACTGAGCCATCGCACCCCGATATTTGAAGTGATACTTCTATGGAAAACGTAATTGTTCCAGCTTGAAAGAAATAAGCAATGGAAAAAAATAAGCATAATATTTAGTATGCATATTAATGAAATATTTCAATACATATTTTTATGGTTAACAATATTATAGTGTGGTTATAAAAAGCAAAATAACAATTATTGTATGTTCAGACAGTTAATTCACACATTCCAACATCTCCTCCTATTGTAGCATTGCTATGAGCATATTTATGTTGTTCAATGACATCAAATTTTTGTTCTAATATAATAAAGAGCCTCTTCTTTTTTAGACTTGTACTATTTTCTCTAGTGAAATCTTCATTCTCTCCATTTTGCATACACAAAGATTAGCAGTGTCTAAAACCATAGTTATACCTGTGCACGCATAAAAGTTAATTGTGCATATACTAGCTTCGTATTTATTAAATTTTTGATCACAAACACAACTTAGCATCAATTTACAATTCATATTGGCTTGTGTATTGCAATATTCGAACTTGCACTAACCCAAACTAGTTATGTTGAAATTTAAGCATGGAAAGAATTGAATTTTGTTTCATGGTTAATATGTTCAGTTTCATTCTTTAACATAAATGGTATTGATAAAACGGATTTTCAAACTGTTAGAGAGGCGGATACTAGAATATTTACATGATTCCACTTTGTTTTGAAGACATGTGCAAGGAGACCGATAGGACTACCACTTCTATTGCAGAGAGTAGAAAGAAACTGCATGAAGTTATGTGTACCATGCGCTTAACATTTAAGGCAGTCCGTCTTTCTAACTTCCTGGTAAAATGCAATCTGAAAATAAGAAAAGCAGTTTATGCAGCCCTGTAAAAATACGGGTGAATGCAGATCCTTTTCTTTGGTTTTCCTTCGTTTTCGCGGGCAATTCCTGTTTGATCATCCATCACAAAGTAGAGACAGATGCAGTTTGCTAGGAGAGCTGCTCTGGAAAGCTTTGAAAGGAAATATATTTAAGAAGGGATTAGAAGAAGGAAATGAAGGAGGCTTGGCATGTGAGGAGCTCTGATGAAGTATTTCAGTTAGATCCATAAATGACTAGACAGCATACAGAACAGCTTCATCAAAGGAGTTATCAGATACTTGATCTGCAAGTGTCAAACTTGGAAAGTCCCATTGCTGGTTGTCGGTGACATGCGGATACAGTGGAGCAGACATCTGAAGGAGACCTCTAGATCCCTACACTTTCTGGAAATGAAAAACAGAGATTGCATTTATCTTGAAAGAAACACATTATTTATTTAGGAGATTTACTGTATATGGTCACCCAACTAACTCATGGTGATTTTGGGTTCTCGGCAGCAGCATTCAGACAATAGATATTCGCCCCCGCTGACAGACTGCAAGAGGTTTCCACTAAGGTCCTCTGTTCCGGCGGGAACAGAGGTTGAATCTCATTGGTTAAGAGGTCAGACAGATCCCTTTAAAAGGGGATGCTGCCCGACCATTCTCCAGCCAGATGTTTACTTGACTTGCAATAAAGAGCTGTTGTTTACTGAAGCCTTTTGTGCCTCCTTTACCCGATCTAACAGGTTCTGTATCAGCCTGGAATCCCCAGACCTGCTCACAAAACCATGTCTTCAGAACCTTTTGAAAGTATGGGAGCCAGCCTTA